TCATGAATTTTTAGAAAGAATACCACGAGATGAAGTGACAGAAATCGAAGCAATGGTAAATCTATTTAAAGTACGACTTATTCATCTAATTTTCAATGAAATTCAGGTGAAACAGCATGCATTTCCATTAGTGCCTGGTCTTACGATTCAAACATGCGGTTCATATCGTCGTGGGAAAGCTACATGTGGAGATGTGGATATTTTAATCACACATGTCGATGGAATTTCACACGAAGGTTTACTGGTACCATTGACGGACTCTTTGAAAAAATGTGGTAAGTTTTTCGAAAGAATTTGGCGTTGATTTTTCTTGAAACGATGTTTCCTTTAGGCTTTTTGACGGATGATCTTATCTTATCCGATAAATACGATGATGATGGCGGGTAGGTTGTAACTGTTGACGGGTACTGGAAAACGATTAAAGGACATTGTGGGGTGAAAGGTCAAGAGAACTTTTTTCTTGTTCTTTTACGGAGAAAAAAGATATTTTTGAAGTTGGAAACAATTTTAGATTGCGCATGTAGTAAAAATTTGTTTTATTACTCTTCTCCACGTGATAAAATGGTATTTTACATTATGTACTGAGAAGTATGTCATGCAGGTTCATGACAAGGGAAAATAAACAGACGAGAGAAAAGAAAGAAAGAAAAGAATGAATAGAAATGTAATCGTTCGATTCACTTTTCCATATGCACACTATTCATTTAGATCTCATGTGAAATACTTCGGTGTTTGTTTGTTACCCGGTGAAAATCGAAAAGTAAAAACCTTCTTCAGTATGAAATAATCATTTAAAACAAATTCTTTTTCTTTAGCATCGTCGTCTTGATATAATCGTTATTCCACATGATGAATATGCATGTGCATTGCTTTACTTTACCGGTAGTGCACTTTTTAATCGTTCGATGAGAAGTCTCGCACATAAATACAATATGTAAGTGAAATCCATGGTGTTATTCGTTCGTTGGAACTCTCCCGATGTTTTCATAGGTATTTATCTCAACATCGTTTGAATACGGGTGTTATTCGCAAGGTAAGATCTAATCTTTCTCGAGATGTCGATTGATCTATTCTTTAGAATAATTCCAAAATCAATATGGGAACACCGTTGTACACTCCGACGGAAGAATCAATTTTCAAATATTTAAATCTACCTTATCGTCCTCCGGAAGAACGTGACCATTAACTAGTCAGCAGAGCTTTATTTTAATCGGACATAATCTTTTTTTCTTTTACATAACCTCGGTGATATAAAATAAAATGAATAATTGCTTGTCTTACTTTTTTTGTAGATATTTGTAAGAACAAGATGGTCTTGGATGGAAATCTTTTAAAGGAGAAGTTAGTCGAAGCTTGGAAATTACGCTCGAATGATCGAAATTTCTCTGCTTCACTCGCACCACTCATTGCTGAAAGTCAATCAGAAGAAGAATTTCGGACGATTTTCACCAGTAAGATTCAATTGATCTTCATTCATATTCTATTTCTTGTTTTTTTTAGCTGAGATTCTCAATCATATCCATTCCGCAATATCCTCTAATCTTCTCCAGTCCTATTTCAAATTTCATACACGATCCGGTTATATAGATGAAGCATTAGTTATCCAACGTCTTTGCTCTTTAACGCCAACACGACGAACCGATGATGTTCAAATCAAATTTCTAATCGAATTATTGAGAGAAACACTGAAAACACTTCATATTACTGCTGAACACGCCGTTCGTCTCGGTAAACAGTTGAATTTGTTAACAAAATGGTTTTGTTCCGCATTGGCTTTTTATTCCAACGAACAAATTGAGACGAAAGACGAAGAAATTCTCCTGTCAATTTGTGATCTGTTTCTTTTCATCTTTACACACGCGACGTTTTATTGTTTGTGGTTAATGACGATCAAAGCACAACGTGAACAGAAAGAATGGAAAAAAAACCAGGAACAAGTTGGACAAGCATTAAAAAGGATTATTCTCCAAGAATCTCATCACAAAAACATTTACGAACAAGTTTTCTTTAAGTAAGACCAACTGATCCGAACGTCTAAAATTCTTCGTGTCTTTACAGGATAAATCGTCTTCATCTATCGGAAGAATTTCATCAAGAAGACATCGAATTCAGTGTTTCATTATTCAGTCCAATTGTGTGTTTACTTGTTATTAACAAACTTCACAAATGCTCGTCCACTTTTCTCATTATTCTTCGTTTCTACGAACATGTTTCGACAACATTGAACCCTTATTTAACCTACCTTCGATTTCTTCAAGCATCATTCGGTGGATATCTCGCCTCAGTGTCAAGTAATAACAGCGAATATCAGCAACGTTGGTCGGCATATGTTCATTTTCAATTGCCGCGGATCTTCGCGTCATGTTTGGAAAGTCAATTCGATGCCGTGAAACATTCATTAGAAACGTTTTTGTTATATAATGAATATTTGTTGAACCGGATGGATGAATTGTGTGTGGAAAATATTTTCGAACACTTTGTTCAAAATGTATTGACTTACGTGAATGACGATGTTCGGATGAAGAATGAAGAGAATATTAATCAATTACTTGCCTACATTCAACGAATTCGACAACCATATAATGAACATATTCAGAAATTTTATCAAAACCATCAATCACGTGAGTCAACTTTGGTGAAAGATTTTACAGATGATTTGAGATTGATTTATTTTTAGGTTCGTATACGTTTCAAATTCTTCAATTACAACGCTCGTTAGAAAAATCTCTTCATCATATATTTTCTACACCGGACGATCCACAACATCTGGATACTTTGATAAACAATCTCACCGATTTCATTCCCTTGATATGTGCACTTGATCAGTATTACAATTTCATTTATCTTTTACTCTCCTATACAAAAACACGTTTTGATCTTGCTTTACTCTTACTTTGTTATGTTACATCGATCACCGATGATACATCGGAAGATTTTGGTCAGATAGAAATCACTGCAGACCGTTCATCAGCAATATTTATTGTTTATATATGGTTGAAAAAGTATTGGTTATCAAGATATGTTGGTCATGCATTGTTTGGATCAACATTGAACTCCACTGATCTGTTGTCAACGATGAATAATTCATTTGATGAGAAATCGAAAGTACAAAAAGAAGAATTTGCGACGGATGTTCAATGTTTCAGTCCGGAAAATTTTGCAATCAAATATTCAAATACAGAATATTTATCCAAAACTGTACTTTTCCTTGGAGATCTTCAATCATTATCTTTAGATGAAACTAAACAACTCGTCTCGCAATTAATTAACTATTTAACTCATGTTTCATATGGAACACTTGTACATGTCCTTCTTTGGCTTATTGCCAATTATCAAATAGCGAGCGATAGTGAAAGACCTTGGATTCAAAACACCATTAATACAATGGGTAAGTAATTAATCAAATCTTAATTACGGGATTGGAAGTTGTATTTGGTTTTGTAGGAACAGAAACATCGGATTCGACTTCAACGATATGCTCGTTATTTGATGCAATTAAACGTCAACTTTGGTCAGATTTTATCGATAATCCTCTAATTTCATATTATTCTACTATCGCACCTGTTTCATCTTCGAAACTTAACTATTTAGTTTCATCTTCTATTCAAACTTCAACAGCCTTAATTCAATCTCTCTTTGATATATATCTTCTCAACGAATTTCTCAATTGTGATCAATCACGTGCATTGTATATCTGTACAAAATATACCCCAATGAATATTCTCATCGATCGTTTAATTATCAATATGAACATGTCCAATGGAATCTATGAAACTAAACGTGGACTTCATTTTATATTCGGCTTAATTCTATTTCGACGTCGATCGTTAACTCGATGTTTATTACAAGAAGTATTTCCTTATTTATTCAATATGAAATCAAATGAATTTATGCTCGAACCTAATGTTTACACAACCAGTTTGATATTGTGTGTCCTTTTAACTATTGAATTTCAGGAAAATACCAGCGAATCGAATGATTTGGCTTATGTTAAACCATGGAAAGAGTCGAACAACGTCATTAAACCAACGCGTGAAGATACAAGTGTCTTCGATGCTTTTCATTTCTTCTTAAATTCATCATCCGATGAACTTTTTACTAGTGAGACTCTACGACCTGTAAATTATTTCTTCAGCTGGTTTCAAACCGTTCTTTGGATGTTAAGTCGACAAGTCAATTCATTGAAACCATTCGTCAAACCAAAATTAGTAAGAATATCGCTTGTGTTTCTTTTTTCATTTTCGAATTTAATGTTTTGTTTTTCAGATTGCTCAGATATCGGAGTTTTTACCTATTCAATGTCCAATAGAGAAGGTTCTAAGTATGTTAGATTTATCAACTGATGAAGAGACAACTTATGCATCGATGGTTATCACACGTGATTATTCGCATTTACAAACAAACAATCGACGAAAAGTGCCAAGTCTTATACAGAATCCACAGTTCGTCATGGATGAAATAAGTTTGTCGAAAAGAACTTCCGATAATGTGACGAGAAATATTTTCTATATTCCGGATAACCTTTAACCACTTGTTTGTTATCCGAATGTATTGTTTCTTATATGATAGTATTTTATCAAGATGATCTATTTGTTTAATAAATTTATCTGAAAGATTCTTTTTTTTGTTGAGTCATTGAAAATCTCATCAGTGTGAAGTGAATGACGAACATGAAGTGTTTCGTAAACAATGCATTATTTAATAAGGAAATCAAGTGTAACAAATTCTATGGGTGTCGGGGTGACGGTGTTCGATGCTCCGCATAAGTATTACTTTAGTTTTTAACATGATTAATTTCTCAACAAACAGGTAGTCACGGAACAGTGAGAGGAAAGCTATGACTCGCTCACCTCTGCCATCTGGTATTTGCCAACTTTTGATTCGTTCATGGTTGAATTACCCAACATATGATGGAAAATATGCAAGTACAAATTTTCTATTAAAATTTAATAAATTTCTGTTTATTTTTCAACTTTTACTATCTAGATTAAACTCATTTGATGAACTCGGCGACTTCTCGAGTTTTATTCTTTCACGGTCTCGAATCAGGAGTCAATGGAAAAAAATCTCGATACCTAGCTGAACAATTTCCTAATAGTTATACTCCTAATCTCAAGCCTTATTATGCACTTCCATGTTCTCTCTGGAAAGCAATTGTGGCTATTCATCGTTTTAAACCGAATGTGATCGTTGGCAGCAGTTTCGGTGGATTTATAGCCATGTTTCTCCTTCAAACAAGAGTGTGGAAGGGCGATACGATTCTATTAGCACCGGCAACAGGTCTCCTGTTCAAGAAAAGACTATGGTTACCTGCAGGCGAACAAAACAATATTGTCATTGTAGCCGGAGCAAATGATACAACTGTACCATTGGATGGATTAAGTAAATTACAAAACTTATCGTTAAAGACGAACATCAATTGAACACTTCAATGATTGAGCAAAATCAATTAAAAGATCTAATCAATGCTAATTATCAGCCGTCGATCACCAATAATACGATTAACAATTATTTCGATTGTACAAGACTATGGCTTCGTTGTTTATTCTCTCTGATAGTGTCCTTTATTCGAGAACCATTGACACTCTATCACACAACTAAACGATTACGTAGAATGAAATGTGAAATCCATAAACCAGACTAGAACTGTGCTTTGAAAAACATATGATGTTTCCTTCATTTGTACTTCTTCATAGAAATTTTGCAAACGAATCTTTCAGCGGATCAACAAGGTGAACGGCGATCAGCAGAAGAAACTTCTCGATGAACAAAGTAAAAAAGTTGGAGCACCGATCCGAAACGAAGGTTGCGAAGCATAATTAGGGATGTATTACTCACGCTCACCGTGAGCAGCATCAGTTCATGCTCGTAAGCGCTCATAAGAGCATGAACGTTTTCTCTTTAAAATATTGATAATCCAAATAAGATCATTTACATTAGTATTTTAATTATAACTATACTGTGGCAGTAAATGCAATGAAAATAATAAAATTGGCATTGGCTAAAAGCATTAATTAGCGCAATCACGTACCTTCTAATAAAAACCTATGCATTAAATATTGAAACCACACTTGTAAAATGCACGAAAACTTTCAAAATACTGACTGTTCATATTTTTTCACTGTCTATTCATGATATACAAGTTACTATTCTATCACCTTGCAGTACATCGATGGTAAAATCGATTAGCATTTTTTCTGAAGAAACAAGATAAGGTATATACTAATTCCGATTCCAAACAGTTCGGTCCCAGTTCTAGAATTGGAAATGATCAGAACTTATCTGAATGCGCATTGAATGGAATCAGAATTGATCGAGATTAGCTGAAATTAATCTTCAAATAGTACTGTCTGTAATTCAATCAACACTGGTTTTAATCATCATGACTGATAACATCAGCACTTCTATTAGACTTCGCGGATTCGCTGAAAAACTGCTCATTAGTTCACGCGAGCTTTGGATCAATTTCGATCAATCTCAATCACTTACAATCGATGCACACTGTTGATCAACTTCGATTTTAGGTCTAGTCAGACTCAATTCAGATTTGAGTTTGAACCACCTTTAATGTGTTCTAAAATTAGAATTGAATCGACGTGGGATTGCATGCATCCCTAACTAATTATTATACTGAACTGTGATAAAAATGAATACATTTAGAGAATATCGTATGTTTAGTATTCAAAAAGTTCGCGTTTGTAGAAATTTGTGAATGCTATCATGCTATTATATGATCATCGAAAATCGATAGATACAGTGTACCATTGTAAGATCGCAAGCAATTCACATCAAATAGGGCATAATCGTCGAAACACTCGAATTCGATCATTAAATAAAACAGAAAACTGACCAGTTTCCTTATGAATATCCATGTGTATAAATCATCATATAGCTGTTAGTAAAATAAATAATTCAGTCGGAAAGATCGACGTTCTATGAACAAAACAGCAGGATATCGATAGGAACTCACTATTTGTATGTCACAATGGTGTGATATGTTCTTAACAAATTTATTAATATTCAACGTACGGCAGATTTGTTGATTCAGGTTGTCATTCTGAATGAATTTTCTGAGATCAGATCACAATGAGAATTATATCATCGATGACATTAAAAAAATTGTTGTATGACTTACAAGCGTACAACAGCCACAAATATTTCCAATCTTCTTTTAATAAATTGTTCGTTATTTTGATCCCGGTGATATACGAACACAGTTGAATCAACTATGATGAATTCATGAAAATCAAAAAATTCTGATATAATTCGATAGACTCGTGATATGTCAACTCATCTAAACTTATTCTTTATTGGATTGTGTTTTTTTTCTTAAAATGAACTGACCAATGATTTTGCCATTCATTTCCAGTATTAACGTTCATCAAAATTCATTTACTTTTTTTAATCGATATTTTTTCGTATAAATGACAGACTTTTTAAAATATTGCGTTGCGCGATATTCATGTGCATTTATAATTCAGAAAATGCAATCACAAATCTAGATCAAAACAGAGTCCAATGTCTTTGTTGTGCCACATTCGAGTGAATACAATCGATCTATCGCCTACTAAAAGATCATTGTATTCGCTTGACCTGGATCAGTTGTAAGGCTATATAAATACTGTGTGTTGTCCTTTTTCTGTCATTACACCAATGGTGCTTCAAATAGTCTGTTTTTCGTTCTGAGCGGATATACTGGACGCAGCAACACAATAGTCTATCGGTCATTATACAAAATGCTACGCTGTTCGTTTCGCATTTTTCCTCTTGCTTTGTCCTTTTCTACCCTTCCTCCGTCTTTTCTTCTATCTTCCCTCATATTTTACTTTCCATATCATCTTTTGGAGAGCAGTGCATTTAGTCTCTCAATATCAGTTATTTCAAGACTGATTTTGCCATCTAATATGGCTGTTCTCGACGAGGTTTCATGTGTTTTTCTCATAGATGATTGCTTATTATTTTTCTAATGTATTCTAGGATCCAAATGATCGAGCTCGAGTTCAAGCACACTTAGTAGCTATTTGTGCATCTATGGTACCTACAGGATCTTGTACCATTGGTCAGTGTCGTCGGGCGGTATTAGTCATAAAAATCAGTTCAATACAGATCTAGTGAGTACTGTTTGTGATTCTTATACATAGTTTTGTTCGATTAATTAGAATGAGGATGATTGTGTCTCGCGTGCAACGCTTCGAGGTTTTGGACGACAACGAGAACGAAGTTGCATTTGACGATTCACAACAAATGGCTCAAGGAGTTGCATTGGAATCCGACTAGAAAAGTCCCATCGGTTGTTGCAAATTTTATGAGCGATCTTTTTAGCTATGTTCTATGATGACCGTTAGAAAATCCAGGAAATCCATATTTCGGATTCGAGTATGGGATTGTTCGACCTGAGCTATCGTTTTAGGTTGACATAATTCGTTTAGGCATAGTAAGCTACATGAATAATAATTTTCGATGTGAGTTCCTTTTATTTTTTATAAAAATACAAGAATATTCTTTATTCTTAGGAATTGTCGCCCATGAACCAGAACCATAGAACAAGATTCACTTGGTGTTAAAGTTATGCTTCTTTATTTGTACAAGTTCTTTGATCTTTCTGGAATAAATTCAATAAAATATGTCATTATTGACCTTTTCTTTCCAGAGATCGGGCTGAGCGTACTGCACCCACACTTACGCCTACGTACGGGACGAGACGAGACACTTATGCCCATCCATCTGTCTTTCTTTTTTAATCATTTTCATTCACTTGTTTTCAATGAATTGGCGCAAGGGTTTCGATTTCAAGATTACGCTGAGTAATCAGGAATCCTCTCCGCTTGGGTGTGTGAGATCCCTTTCATATCAGAAAAGCTAAGGCCTACTTAACCAATCAGTTCGATAGAAGCGAAAATGCTGAGATAGAAGAACGCTTATTGTCAGTTAAATAGAAATGAGTCACTGATTATTGCAATAGCAAAGGACGCCTCGTTCTGAGAAACTATAGATGACTCATATCACATATAAACTTAAGAAATAAGTTTTGAAAACTTACCGGTCGTTGGTTGGCGCCTAATCTAGCCCACCGTTGGTTACGCCACTATCTGCGAGCAGTACAGGCAAATTCGTTTCTGATACTAAAGTCGAGATCTAGGGAGGATCTTGACCTTTTACTAGTGTGTACTCTATAACTCCCAACTGGCATAATTGATTCAAACAATGTTCGGAAGTTCTGAAGCAAGCATTCTTGGAAAATGGCCTATTTTCATATTGGTGTTCAGATTCTTCCTATATATATGACACATTGGGCGTTTCGTTTTCTATCATGTGTCATCACATGAACATGCCTATTTGTCTGGATCTGTATTCCTTCTCTCGCATACATCTACGGGATTATTCTCAATCATGATCCTATGTATACATGTGTGCGTGATCCTCTTCCATCATGTTGCTGTTTATGATCTGACAATAAATACCCAACACTCAAGCATACGAAACCTACAATGGTGACGAGGCGAGATTTTCGGGATAAAATGAATCAATTGTATCCGAACTTATATAGGAATAATTTCAACAGTTAGTAAATTCATAAAGTAAAGTCTCGCGTGAAATTCAAAATTTTGAATTCGAGAGGAAGAGATTGCTATTGAAAAATTTATATAAAAAAGACGATACAGTAGTGTGCAAAAAAAATTGCCGACACGTGCATGAAGTTTCAACGATTTTTTTTCTTCCTTCTTATAAGATAATTGTTCTCGAACTATATTGAACATGTAGGGTAGACACTATATATATGATAACGTATAACATCATTTTCGAAACTTCTATCAGTTCAATAAAAATGACCTCGAAAGTTACGAACAGACACTTGTCGACGCATTGATCAGTGATATTACATTATTTCAATATGGGCTATTGTTGCGCTGCTGAAATTGCTCGACAAACACACATTCCTGTCCGTACTATTCAGTATAATTTAGTCAAGATTCGGAAGCAAGGCGGCGTGGAACACCGACGAGGCAACGGTCGACGTCGAAAAATCTCAAATGAAGATAATGTTGTACTTGGCTAGTGGATTCGAAGAAATAGTTAAATGACATCGNGATCAGTGATATTACATTATTTCAATATGGGCTATTGTTGCGCTGCTGAAATTGCTCGACAAACACACATTCCTGTCCGTACTATTCAGTATAATTTAGTCAAGATTCGGAAGCAAGGCGGCGTGGAACACCGACGAGGCAACGGTCGACGTCGAAAAATCTCAAATGAAGATAATGTTGTACTTGGCTAGTGGATTCGAAGAAATAGTTAAATGACATCGAAGGAAATAGTCGCAGAACTTCACAAAAGAAATATTTGAATGTTTCTCGATGGACCGTGTGTCGTCAGCTACGTCGATTAGGTTACAAGTAACGCTCGTCTGTGGACTCGCTCAGCTCTTTCTCGTAGAAATTATCCTCTATAATATCACTGAAGTTTCTGTTTATATAATATGTAAAACCTGATTTGAGATTCGTAATTCTCGACTTCGAAAACCCTTCGGTCAAACTGCACCAAAAAACAATTTTTCCGTAAAAAATAACCCTTCTCCTAAAAAATTTTTTTTATGAAAAATTTTAAAAAGCTAACATCAGATTCGTGTTCCTCGTGATTGAAAACCATGTAGTCAAATTTCATAGAAAATTTTTTTTTTGTAAAAAACAGCTCTTTGTCTAAAAAATCATTTTTTATAAAAAATTTTAAAAAACTAACATCAGACTTGAATCCCTCGACCCAAAAATATCCTTTGTTGAAATTTCATGAAAAAAAAATTTTGTTTTGTAAAAAAATTGGGTCTTCGTCTCAAAAAAATTTTTTTTTATGAAAAATTTCAAAGAGATGACATCAGATTTGAATTCCTTGACCCAAAAAACCCTTTCGTCAGTCTTCACAAAAAAAATTTTTTTCATGAAAAATGGTCCTTTGTCTCAAAAATTTTTTTTTTACAAAAAATTTCGAGAAACTAACGTCAGATTTGAATTCCTTGATCTCAAAAACCCTTTGATAAAATTTTATAAAAAAAATTTTTTTTTGTAAAAAAGTGGTCCTTTGTCCCAAAAAATATTTTTTTTAGAAAATTTCGAAAAGCTAACATCAGCTTTGAATTCCTCGACCCCAAAAACCCTTTGGTAAAATTTTATAAAAAAAAAATTTTTTCCGTAAAAAAATGGTCCTTTGTCGCAAAAAATACTTTTTTTAGAAAATTTCGAAAAACTAACATCAGATTCGAAGTCTCCGCATCGAAATACCTCTGGAAATGTCTTTTCGGAAAAATCGATTTTTGATGTTTTTTTGACCCTGCGGACATACAAGCAAGCAAGCAAGCAAGCAAACAATTTATATTTCTAAGACTCTTCTCTACGAGAAAGAGAATAAAAACGTTTTACCTCGAGGAACTCCAATGTTAACAAATGAACAAAAAGAAAGACGTGTTCAATGGGCTTTGGCACACAAGGACGATGATTGGAATCGAACAGTATTCTCTGATGAAACATCTTATCAATTATTCAGAAATACCATCCGCCGTTGGTCGAAATATACTAACAAAGAAACAAAACCAATTCCGAAGAATAGACAGAAAATTATGGTGTGGGGTGCTTTTAGTATCAAAGGTTTGTTGCAATGCTATTCTTTTCGAACAATAATGAACGGTCGTCTTTACGTTGAAATACTTCAAAATCATCTCATTGGTAACGCAAGAAAACAATTTGGACGTCGGTGGCGATATCAGCAAGATAACGACCCAAAGCATACCAGTCGAATAGCGAAACAATTTTTGAAAGAACAAGTGCCTGAAATAATCGACTGGCCAAGCAATAGTCCTGATCTTAACCCAATCGAAAATCTTTGGTCTATACTTAAACGACGTGTGGAGAAACGAAGACCATCAAATATCAACGAATTGGACCAGTTTTTACACGAAGAATGGGAAAATATCGATTTGAAAATTGTAAATAATTTAGTACAGTCGATGAAATCAAGATGTTTAGCGATTATTGATTCAAAGGGAAAAAGAATTGATTATTAAGTTTTGTAGTTTTGTAGCATAGTACGCAACTAAACTTTTTATGAAAAAATAGATTTCTGTTATTAGTAATAAATGGCAAANTCAAATATCAACGAATTGGACCAGTTTTTACACGAAGAATGGGAAAATATCGATTTGAAAATTGTAAATAATTTAGTACAGTCGATGAAATCAAGATGTTTAGCGATTATTGATTCAAAGGAAAAAGAATTGATTATTAAGTTTTGTAGCATAGTACGCAACTAAACTTTTTATGAAAAAATAGATTTCTATTATTAGTAATAAATGGCAAAGATTTGTGAAACTTTATCGGCAGTTTTTTTTGCACCCTACTGTATCTTCACTCCATCTTGACTTGTGTATTACAAATGCACCGAACCAAATTCGGAGACTCCCGCACGCGTTCACAAAATTTGTTGGAAGAGTCGTTAAATGGTTGAACTTATGAAATACAGCGTTGTTTGCATCTTTACAGATGATGAATGTCGGTTGATGATGATTTCTATCCGAATTTGATTCAGTCATGAAGTAAATACTCTACTCCTCGGGAAACTCAAACTCTCATTACCATTCTTGATATAGCTCTCATTCATTCTTGGTATCTTTATTCAAAATAACCAGATAGTCATCAAACAGCGATGACTCGCTCAACTCTGCCATCTGGTATTTGCTAACTTTTGATTCGTTTACGGTCGAATTACCCAACATATGATAGAAAATATGTAAGTACGAATTTTCTATTAAAATTTAATAAATTTCTGTTTATTTTTCAACTTTTACTATCTAGATTAAACTCATTTGATGAGCTCGGCGACTCCTCGAGTTTTATTCTTTCACGGTCTCGAGTCAGGAGTCAATGGAAAAAAATCTCGATACCTAGCTGAACAATTTCCTAATAGTTTTACTCCTAATCTCAAACCTTACTATGCACTTCCATGTTCTCTCTGGAAAGCAATTGTGGCTATTCATCGTTTTAAACCGAATGTGATCGTTGGCAGCAGTTTCGGTGGATTTATAGCCATGTTTCTCCTTCAAACAAGAGTGTGGAAGGGCGATACGATTCTATTAGCACCGGCAACAGGTCTCCTGTTCAAGAAAAGACTATGGTTACCTGCCGGCGAACAAAACAATATTGTTATTGTAGCCGGAGCAAATGATACAACTGTACCATTGGATGGATTAAGTAAATTACAAAACTTATCGTTGAATAATGTGCAATTTCTCGTCGTCGAAGACGAACATCAATTGAACACTTCAATGATTGAGCAAAATCAATTAAAAGATCTAATCAATGCTAATTATCAGCCGTCGATCACCAATAATACGATTAACAATTATTTCGATTGTACAAGACTATGGCTTCGTTGTTTACTCTCTCTGATAGTGTCATTTATTCGAGAACCATTGACGCTCTATCACACAACTAAACGATTACGTGAAATGAAACGTGAGACGTATAAACCAGATTGAAGATGAGTGAGTTGAACGACCGAGACACATTTCTCTTTATCATCGCAATTTGCTGTATGAATCGCTTTTTTTCTACGGAAAATAAAAGACGAACACCTTGAACATTGAATTTCTCGAAGCGTCGTTTCAAACGGAAACATTCTTTCTTCTTCGAGAGAGAAAAAGAGGAATGTTTATCTGTGAAGCATAATCTTAAGCTGTAAAAGGATGAGAAGAAAGAAATGAACAGACATTTTTACCTTTTCCACGATAAGAAGAAGAGAAAAGAATTCTATGGTAACATCACCATCGTTCTCTTCATTTCCTTTCTTTTCTTGCCCGAACAACCAATCTACAGAAGAGAAAACACATCTTCTCAGGCGATTAAAATGGAAATCCAAGAGCAACAAACTGAATTACCAAACAACAGATTAAAGGTGAGATTTGAAAAACGTCTAAGCATTCCGTCATTTCCATATCTTCATAGAAATTCCGCAAACGGATCTTTCAGCGGATAAACAAGGTGAACGATGATCAACAAACGAAACTTCTCGAAGAACAAAATAAAAAAGTTGAAGGACCGATTCGAAATGAAGATTACGAAGCGTAATTTGACACTTTTTGTTTCTCTCGAAAATAATTCTTTTCTTCTCTTTGCTTAGCACTGGATTTGTCATCGATCCGCAGAACCGTTTCTATCACTACTGGCTTGCTGTCATCTCACTTGCTGTTTCCTACAATCTTCTTCTCATTCCGGCTCGCTATGCATTTGCTGAACTTGATAAACGATACAAATACATCTGGATCTCGCTCGATTACGTGTCCGATTTCATTTATTTAGTTGATATTTTCTTCCAGTCGAGAACAGGTGAGAAAAACTTCTTCGAAAGCAAACCTGTTCCATATTTTGTGTTTTAGGCTATTTCAGTCATGGTTTATTCGTTCGAAATCATCATGTTTTATCGCGAAATTACTTTTCTTCACGGCAATTCTATATTAACGATCTTTTGGCAGCTTTTCCGACGGATCTGCTGTACATAGTTCCGCGTTTACGTTTTGTGTCGATTATTCGTTGTAATCGGTTCTTACGAATCAATCGTCTTTCACAATTTCAAGATCTAACAGAATCACGAACAAGATTTCCAAATGCATTTCGAATCGGAGTTCTTGTGTGTTTGACACTCACGTTAATTCATTGGTAAAAACACCGAGAGTTTCTTTGTCAAGATTTCCATTTGTTTAGGAATTGTTGTGCGTATTTTCTCATCTGTCAATATCTTGGTTTCGGCAGTGACCAATGGGTTTTACCAGCTTCAGCGCACAATGAAACTGTGGCTATGCTCTACACCTATTGTTTTTATTGGTCGACGCTTCTTTTGAGTACTATCGGAGATGTTCCTCTACCTGAAAATCGATCGGAATATGTATTTGTCTTACTTGATTATATGATCGGTAAGGAGAAGACAAAAGACAGTTTGTTTGATTGATCTACATTATGATGGACAGGTATTCTCATATTTGCAACGATTATTGGTAATCTTGGTACGATGATCTCCTCGCAAAACCAATCGAGTAATGAATTGAGAGAAAACTTTCTTCGTCAAAGACTTGATCTTTGTTGTGTTTAGGACAACAAGTGCGTGAGAAGATGGATGAAATCAAACGATACATGAAATTCCGTTCGGTCAACCGAAAACTCGAACAAAAGGTAACAAAATGGTTGGATTATCTATATACAAATCGTCAAGTGTTAAACGAAGAAATGGTGTTGAATTCTGACCTGAGTATTGAATTACGCAAAGATTTAGCGATCAAGGTGCATTTAGAATCGCTTCAACAGGTGAAATTGTTTCACGATTGTGAACCAAACCTTCTTATTGAACTTGTGACAAAATTAAAACCAACATTTTTCGGACCGGGGGATTATGTCTGTCGAAAAGGTGACATTGGAAAGGAAATGTATATCATCAAACGCGGACAATTAGGTGTCGTTAGTGATGATGGTAAAACAACATTTGTTGTGCTGAAAGAAGGATCGGTTTTCGGCGAAATATCAATTTTAAACATTCCTGGTTAGTTTTCTCTCAATCATTTCATTTCTGTTCGCATATATTCGGATTTTTAGGTTCAAAAAATGGATGTCGTCGCACTGCGAATGTCAAATCGTTAGGTTATTCGGATTTGTATACATTACAAAAGGATGATTTGTGGCTTGTTCTTGACAATTATCCTGAATCGTTGTCAAAAATTATCGAAAAAGGAAAATCTCTTTTACGAAAGGATAATCTTCTTGACGAAAGTCTATCCGATTCCCGACGGCATGCCGAACAGGATCAATTATTAACTGTTCAAAGTCGTCTAAAAAAATTAGACGATCTCGATCGAAATCTAAACGAACGAGTAACGAAATTTCTCGAAACTTACGTTGAAGCGATCAAACTATTCAAACAAAAGTTGTCGAAACTCGAATACCTCTATGGGACAAGAAAGCCAAGTGTGTCATTGTCTATCAGCACACCTCGATCAGCACCTGCAGTTCCATTCTTTGCTAATCGATGGAAACAAAATAGTTCGAATAATCTACTCAAATACCGAAGCACATCATTTCTGGATGTCGACTGAGGCGTTCTTTTCCTTTTCGATTGAATAAATATCGTAAAACAGTTCTATCCACGCCATCTGTAATTTCTCTATTTTGATTCGTCACTTTCAATGCTCAACATATGATGAGTAGAGTGCTATGAAAAACAAACAAAGTTCTGTTCATTGAAGAGAACAAATCTCAATGTGAAAATTATCAGCATAACGATGAATCAGCATTCATCATAAATCTTCTTCTCTCAATATCTGGCGTGGAATTGATTCATGTAATCGACTCGATCTTCAATCCACAAATCGCATGATGTACAGCTTCTACACTAATCTTTGATACCTTAGCCGTGTATTTATCACCTTATCTATGTTAGATTGTTGTTGTCTTCTTTTGTACAAAATTTTCGCCTACTTTTTGTCGTGATAACACTTCTGGTGCGTTAATTTTGATCTTGTGACCATTTATGTTCTGCTTTCAGATAAATAGTGCATAAACCAGCAATGACAACAGCAGTAGTAAATAGTCGATCAGATGGCGAACTTTGCCGTAATGCTTGTGGTTTCTATGGAAATAAAATTTGGGATGGCTTCTGTAGTAAATGTTATCGAGAAGTGTATCAACAAGCTAAACAGATTCAAGAAGTTTACGATGGAAAACTAAAGTAAAGTCATTTATAGATATTCACAGAGTTTTTCTTATGAAATATTTCCTCGTTTAGTACATCAACTCCACCTTCGTCTCCGACAATATCCAATTCGAATGAAAAACGTCGATCTAATCTCAGTATGCGCAATCCTCTTCGACAAATGGTTCATCGAGCTGGAAGTCTACGCTGTATGTCTCGAACGTATTGTTTTCTTCTGATTTAATTCGAAATTTTTTGTAGCATCAAGTAGTTCGATGATATCCGCGTTACTGAACGAAGAACAAACAGCGGAAAATGAAGATGCAAGTAAAC